AAGGTGCTGTACATCCAGATCAAACAGTGGTTGGGCATTTGTTTTTCTGAAATTGTTCCATTGACAGCTTCCAAGGCTACAGGGTAGCAAATGGTCAACAGAGCCTCTCAGCTCAAATCTCAGTTCTTCCATATATAGGATATGTGACAGGGCAGGTTTCCTGTTCTCCCAGAATTCCTTTTATCATTTGGAAAATTAAAAAATAAGAAAAAGCAAAACTGCCTGCCTTTTGTGTTTTTAGGGCATTTAATAATAAAAGATGCATACATTTACTTAACTATTTACTTGATATATGCTGGGTCATTCAAAATGACTAGTTTCCCAAATGATGGCCTATTTGGGAGGCCCAGGCAGTAGGATCTTGAGTTTGAGATCAGCCAGAGATACACAGGAAAAAAGAAGAAAATGAAGATATGAGTTTATGCTGGTCATTTCCTATTTAGGCAGCTGTAATATTAGTGTACTATGCTAAAATACTTCATAGGACTTTCAATTTTAAGGGAAGTATCATAGTGTTTGAGAAGCATTACTGGGTAAACATTATTTTATATGCAAAGGGTAGAATACATGGATTGTCTTCAGTGTCATAAATTCCAAACTTGTCACCAGTTCAGAATCTTGAAATTTTTTTTTAAATTTACTTTTTTAAAAAAAATATTTTTATGTTTTTACTGTATTTTTTTAGAAGAAGCATTTCATTACAGCTTTAACATACTCAATAACAGTTTCCAGAAAAACTTACTTTTTTAAAAGCTTAGTTAGTAAGGTGCCTGTTGCATAAGCCTGAGGACCAGAGTTCTAATCCCTAGCACCCATGTAAAAGCTGGGTACCATGGTTCATGTCTCCAATGCCAGTGCTGGGGGAGCTGAGATAGGCAAATTGCCTTCACCCACTAGTCTAGGCAAACTGATGAATTCTAGGTTCAGGGAGGGATCCTGTCTCCAGAACTAAAGGGTGGAATGTGATCCAAGACAACACCTTGAGTCACCTTCTGGCCTCCACATGCACACCCAGATGCACATGCACACCCAGATGCACATGCACACCCACATTTATTTTAATACTCAATTCAGTCTTCAGGCTGCACACTGGAACCAGCTAGGATGTTAAAACAACACCCCCCCCCCTAATAAAAAAAGGCTAGTATCTGGGTCAAGTCCAACTCCAGGCTAGTTACAACAGGTCTCCAGGGTAGGGCAGTGCAAGGAGAGGCAGAGCAATGAACAGCTTCTTTTTATGGTTTTCAGTGGGACAGAGTCCACTCAGGAGATAGAAGTGTACATAGCTGATAGGTCACTTATGTATCGCAAGCACTTGTTAAGCAAGAGTGCATAGTAAAAGTTTGAGACTGCAAGCTCACAGGTGTCTCAGTAAGAAGAGAAAGCCACCATGGATCCAGTTCTGTTCCTGGTGCTCGGTCTCTCCTGTCTGCTTCTCTTCTCATTGTGGAGACAGAGCTCTGGGAGAGGGAAGCTCCCTCCTGGTCCTACTCCTCTCCCAATTATTGGAAACATCCTACAGATAGATGTGAAGAACATCAGCAAATCCTTAGCCAGTGTAAGTTTGTTTCATGCTACTCCAGTGGATGGCAAGGGGCAATTAATCTCTGCTACTAAATAAATACATTTCTGGAGGCAAATTTTAAACTATGTTATTATAAGACAAATACTCTTGGTGGATCATTATATTTGGTATGTCATTTTCAGAAATGGTTAAATGAGATAATATATTTGTCCAGAACAGATTTATTTATGTTTAGATAGACTCTGAATAATAAAGACTTGTGTTTCTTCTTTATTTCATGGTCCTCAGTTATGACTTTTTGCCCAAGGTAAAAGGTGATCTGTAGGAATGTCTTTTACTATATGCACATACTGCAGACAAATCTTTACCTAAGCTTGCAACCAAAATAGTTAATCTTATATTGTTTACAATGTAGAGAGGTCACTGAGCTGTGAGCTCTTCTTGTGACCTGGGCATATAACCTTAGTTCCTCATGACCCTTGCCCTGGACCCCAAATAATGGATGAGTCTGTAGGTGTGTGCACATGCGTGTATGTGTGCTTGCGTGTGTGTGTGTGTGTGTGTTTTGTATTTCAAGAATACTGCAAACAGCATGAAGTATTTGTTGGAAGCAATGATGATATGAAAATCTCCCCCTCTGTATTACAAACAATACATAGGATTAAATTGATAATGAATGTTTGTGGTGATGTGTGTTCTAGTTCAGTGGATCAGAAAGGGAAAAACTCTTCTCTGATAAAGTTCTGACTTTTCCCTCCTGATTCCATGCTGGAGATAGTGTCAGTAATAGAAAGAGTGAGGCCTTTATTAGGGAGTGCAGTTACTCTGAAGGAACCAGTTCTTAGCAGTTTGGTTCTGCTCTTGTCTGAAACAGATGTTAAGGAGTTAGGCTGATTTTATTCAAGCATCTCTGTAATGTGGCTTTGTGTAGTAAATGCTATAGTAATTGAACTGCTTTTGGAAATTTACTCAAGAAGTCTTCCACTATTGTGTATTTCATTTAGATTAGCCACAATAATTAAACATCTCCAAAGAATAAAGTTGTCTGATATCAGGAAACTATCTGATTATACAATAAATGTATGTGAGTGACAAAAAATTAGTTAGGTCCTGTTGTGTAGTGATGCTTTTGGACTCTACACAAAATTGTTGTCTGTGACTTCTAGGTGTGCCGCACGGAAGAAACTGTCCTTCCACAGGAAACTGCATGTGCTGGCACCCCTTGCTGTCTGCCTCTGTGTCAATAATACTGAAGGATCATAAGCATCTTAGCATTAGACTCATCCGGGGAGAGTTATAAAACTGTAGATTTTTGATACTTATCACAGGGCAGCTGTAGCATCCCCATGAGAAGAGTTTAGCAGGTAATCCCGAGGCAGTGTTCTAAGCGTTTGAGTACTTGTTCAAAGATGGACACTGGAGACTGGTTAACTGTTCACGTATCAGAGATCTGCTACGCAAGAAATCTGAATCTTCAGCCCATGGTATACTGAAATGAATGTGAAATTCTTTCTACCTAAGTCTCTTTACTTGTAAATCAGTAAAAAACTTACTTCAAGGTGCAGATTAGTTGTGATAGTTTACATATCTTTGCCTGACAAGTTTCTGACAAATGGGAATCAGTTTGTATGTGACTGCTATAATAAATATTAGCCTTTTAACATATGAAATACAGAAAAATTTGAAGTTGTCTATGACAGAATAAAAATGTCAACAGTATGATTATAATAGTCAGATTGGACTTTTTTGGCTGCTACTCATATTTTCTTTCTTATTTCTAGTTCTCTAAAGTCTATGGCTCTGTGTTTACTCTATATTTTGGTATGAAGCCTACTGTGGTGGTCCATGGATATGAAGCCATAAAGGAAGTCCTGGATGACCTTGGAGAGGAGTTTTCAGGAAGGGGTAGCTTCTCGATTGTTGAAAGAACTAATAATGGCCTTGGTAAGAGTGCAAGTGCATGTATGTGCAGGCATGTGTATGTGTGCATTGGGCACTAATCATGGGGATGAGATGTGAAGAGCTCCTTGAGCAGAGCAGCAAGTGGCATCACCTGTCAGCTTCCTCTTCCACCTGTGGGTTCTCCCTTCTAGTTTCCATTTCCTATTCTGGCAGGAATCATTTTCAGCAATGGAAGAAAATGGAAGGAGCTGCGGCGCTTCTCACTTATGACTCTGAGGAATTTTGGGATGGGGAAACGGAGCATTGAGGATCGCATTCAAGAGGAAGCCCGCTGCCTTGTGGAGGAGTTAAGCAAAACCAGTGGTGAGTGACTGCTTCCCTGGCTCTTCCTTAATGCCTTTTGAAACACTAGCAGGGTGGCCAGTTAGTCTTCTGGGGCAGTGGCTGCTGGTCCTCATGTTAGGCCCCCAAGGACAGAGAAGTTAAGAGTTTTTGCTTGTCTGTCTTTGTGCTTGTACATACTGCCTGTGCATACAGTGCATCAGTCTGTGCATCAGACTCATCTAATCCCATTCGTTCCCAGCTTGTTTTCAAAACTTAACATCATGAGGGTACAAAGTTTTGAACCTCATAAAAAAATTTATATGGGGTAATTTTTTTCTATAGTGTAATTGTGAGTTAACTATTTTAGTACAGTTTTTTGAGAATATTTGTCCGGTGTGTATGGTGGGAATTACCCC